CAGCTGCGGTTTTGAAAAGGCAAATTTTTCCTGCAGGAAACGCAGACACAGAAGCCAATTCAAGCCCATTCAAGCTCCGAGCAAATTTGGGCCACACAGCCTGCAATAGTGTGAACCAAGACTTATGCCCCGTACACACGATAAGAAAACTTACGAAAAATTTTGCAGAACCACTGATCGAACGATTTTCTCTTCGTTGATGAGCAGGATGTTTTAACCGATAACGATATTGTGAATGAAAAAATCCGGTTGAACAACAGTGAAAAAGCTTGTCGTTTCGCATACGAATGACTGATTTTCTATGCGGTGGTATGACGGTTGTACAAAAAAAAAATCTATCAAGCGCTATCACGCATGAGCAGAAACAGAAGATGACCCGGATGTTTATGTCCAAGGAATCTTCGTAAACACGAACGAAAAATCAAAATATTAAAAGTAGATTGGCCTAATGAGATCATGAAACCAGAATTCTGTATATTATATTTTATGTATCACTAGTTATGTATATAGATAATGTAATAAACGATATTATACTCATTGCTGGTAATTGTTGTGTATATCGCTCGTTCTGGTCGTAAGGGCGTGGCTACAAGATCACACGCACAAGGAGCGAACGCCTCTCAGTCGTCGGGATGACCGATCGGTCGATTTTTTAATTGTGTATTCCCACCTTTACTCAAGCCCCTGAAGGGAAAAAAAATCCTTAGAGTTGCTTTTATTAGTTAAATAACTTTGGTTTATTTCTTTCAAAATATATAACTTTTTTCTGTGCTTTTTATCCCTTTTTTTTCTATTTCTTCTCTCTGCCAAGAGAAATCTTAAATGTAGAAAGCGCAAATGAGAAAACATTGATTTGTAAAGGGGGTGAAGTAGAAATGATCTCTATCAGTTTCTTATGTTTTGTCTCCAGTCTATAATCTCATTGTTTCGTGTATATACCGCGCACGTTTTGGCTCACACGCATGTCAATGGATCTATATAGTTTCCTTTTCACAGCAAACTACAGCAGGTAGATGTGAATGAGCCACAGAAGAAAGGGATTTGTACTTGACATGCATTTTCATGCAGCAAAATGCATGGCTTTTCCTGCATCAAAACAGACAAGTGTACAGAGGTCCAAAGTGTTACAGCATGTCCCTAGTCTTCAACAGCTCTTATAGTGTGGCCCCTAAATTTGACCCTCGTAGCATGCCTTTAGACTCCTATTGCATGTCTGTACTCTGAGAACTTACAGAAGAACTAGATTTACTGAGTAGTATGTGTGATTATGTCAAAGACCTCCTATATAAAGTTGACCACCACTGCTCTAAACCCCTGCGTTTGTTCACACATTGCGATGCAGTGAGACTCACCAAGCAATAAAATGATTAAAAAGCTAGACAGTCCTATCGCGATCCAGTGCTGTGCCCGTCTGCAGCGGCACTGATCTCTGTTCCTCTCCTCCCAGGACACAAAGACAGCAGCCGGAGCCATTGGCTGCTACTGCTGTCAATCAAATCCTGCGAGGAGGTAGTGGGCCGAGCCGCGCTGTGTGTCTATGGACGCACACAGCCCAGCTTGAGATTGAGCTCACGGGTGTTCCTCCGTAGCAAGTGTTTTGCTATGGGGGCACACACAGAAGACGAAGAGCCGAGAGCACTGGCTGGGGACCCCAGAAGAGGAGGTTCAGGGCCGCTTTGTGCACAGAGCTGGTGAGTATGCCATGTTTATTATTTTAGAACAAACACATTAAGGCTTTCCAATCAATTTAAGGTAGTATTAAACCCACATTCTTTAGCTTAACACACTGAGCCCCATAAAATAAACATTCCCCAATAAACTTTCTACAATTTTTACCTAAGCACTCGCAATTTACAACTTTCAATTCTGCTGGCTCTTGCTCTCTCAGTGCAGTTCTCTGAACTTCTGGTCTTCACAGGAAAAAGAGTGGGCACTGCAATCTCAAATCAGTTTGTTAGCTGAAAGAGGAAGAAGGAACAGGGTTGTGCTTTGCCATCCTAGGCTTTGGGGCTGTGGGTTTCTATTGATGCACACAGTGTACTAGGATGTTGCAAGAGAAAGCAGCCACCCTGAAACAGGAAATCTGGGGAAGTGGTCATAACTTAAATTTTAACAGGAACATAGGCAAGGATTAACCACTCTAGTACCGTGTTATAGCTGAAAGACAGCTACAGCGTGGCTCTCTTGTTCTGGGAGGGACATCCTCCCACTCACCACCTGGGGTGCGCTCTGTGACTGCTGTGTCTTTTGGATAGAGCTGACCACAGATACAGCTGACTACCGATCGTGGACCCCAAAGTCGTATGACAAGTCACACAAGTGTGAATGGACTATTAATGTGAACTAGATAAGTCTGCAGATTTACAGTGTGGAGTTATGATTCCAAGGTGCTTTTTTCTTCTTTTATCTGTATTATTTTTCAAGTGAAGTTTGTCTTGACGGTGAGCCTGACTTGGTTTAAAATGTGCCGTGCATGCATCTGTGTTATTCTTCAGACTAGTCCCTGTGCCCCTGTAGTGGCCCTAGGATCCTAGAGCCACACTCTACACAGGGCTTTGACATATCCCTAGGTCAGCATTAGGTCTCGCCCCCAGATAGCATAAACCCTACCACCTAAGATTCATCTCTGACTTGCCAGAGCCTCTACTGCCCTCCGACCGTTGAATGACCGTAGGTAGGGTTCAATCTTTTGTCCTTGGAAATGTAAAATTAAAGCAAATATATCTTTATGAACATGTGACAAGTATACTTTAAGATGAAGTGGTAAAAACATACTAGAATAAAGTGGAATTTCAGCCAAAGAGTTGCATTCGCAATTGATTTACATACATACTGTAAGAAAATTCACAAAAAAAAAACAAAACCAGCACTCAAATCTTCATGCTTTATGGAAGCACGGAATCTGTCATTTCCTGAGGTGCAGCCCTTGAAAGATTGGGAAATCTTGATACTGACAAAAGAAAGCAAAGAAAGGGCGCACTCTCCTCATGCATTACCGTGGCAAAAAACAAATTCATTAAAATGCATAAAAAGTGCATACTCACAAACCAAAGGAGATAAGAAAGCAGAGTCAAAGAACAAATTCTGTCAGTCCCAGACAGCGGGGAACCCTAGATATGATAAAAAAACTAACGCATTTCGGGAGTCGAACTCCCTTCCTCAGGGCTTGGGAAGGAAGGGAGTTCGACTCCTGAACCACGTTATCTTATCATATCTAGGGTTCCCCACTGTCTGGGACTGACATAATTTGTTCTTTGACTCTGCTTTCTTGTCAGTCCCAGACAGCGGGGAACCCTAGATATGATAAGCTAACGTGGTTCAGGAGTCGAACTCCCTTCCTTCCCAAGCTCTGAGGAAGGGAGTTTGACTCCCGAAATGCGTTAGCTTATCATATCTAGGGTTCCCCGCTGTCTGGGAATGACAGAATTGGTTCTTTGACTCTGCTTTCTTATCTCCTTTGGTTTGTGAGTATGCACTTTTTATGCATTTTAATAAATTTGTTTTTTGCCACGGTAATGCACGAGGAGAGTGCGCCCGTTCTTTGCTTTCTTTTGTACATACATACTGTATATAGGATCTGGTTTATTTGCCTACGTTATTTTGATTCTGTTCAACCAGTCTTGTGATTTACACCCCTCTACCACACTCTTACCAGGAGGGTGATACCGTTATTCCCTGCTTCAGCTTTGCGGCTTCCCCCGCCCAATGGATTTTGAAAAATGTTTACATTGCATTTGCCTGATGTGCAGAAAGCTTCAGAACGGTCAATGATCATGTTAGAGTGGCATAAGTGTACAAATCAAAACACTGTCTGCATATAAGTTTTCAAAGTGTTACTAAACCCATAACAGTAAAATCAGTTGTATATGCAGTAAAGCATGCTTGTTATACTCACTGTGGAACCTAAGGGGTTAATCCTCTGCATTGTGTAAAAAGGCTGTTTGATCTTGTCTTCTCAGATCCTCCCCTTCTTCCAGTGCCCCCCTCTTTATCTCCTGAAAAGACATATTGTGTGGAGTCACTCTGCACATGCTCAGATTGGTGTACATTGCTAGAGAGGTTTGTTTGGTTTTTTTTTACCAGCACAGTGTCAATCAGCACTGTCCAGACAGAGGTCAGGGGTTCTGTATCCTCCTAGAGCAGAAAGAAAACTGCTCCTACAAGCTTTAACCAGTGCTTTGCTGAACACTGATATAAGTCACAAGACTGCTGTAACTGCTGATGAGAAAAGGTATTCAGCAGTTTGTTTACTAAAATAATTGCATTTCCATGTTGTGTGTACTGTGGGAGACCTGATATAGTGAATGCAGGGTCCGGGGAGACCAGATATAGTGAATGCAGGTCAGGGGAGACCAGATATAGTGAATGCAGGGTCCTGGGAGACAAGATATAGTGAATGCAGGATCAGGGGAGACCAGATATAGTGAGTGCAGGGTCCGGGGAGACCAGATATAGTGAATGCAGGATCAGGGGAGACCAGATATAGTGAGTGCAGGGTCTGGGGAGACCAGATATAGTGAATGCAGGGTCCTGGGAGACCAGATATAGTGAATGCAGGGTCCTGGGGAGACCAGATATAGTGAATGCAGGGTCGGGGAGACCAGATATAGTGAATGCAGGGTCGGGGAGACCGATATAGTGAATGCAGGGTGATATAGTGAATGCAGGTCCGGGGAGACCGGATATAGTGAATGCAGGGTCCGGGGAGACCGGATATAGTGAATGCAGGGTCCGGGGAGACCAGATATAGTGAATGCAGGGTCCTGGGTTTAGTAACACTTTAAATCTTTTGGCAGGTAGATCAGTTCTTATATATTTTTATTGTGCATTTAGTTATTTGTAAGGTCCACTGCGATGGGGATGTGAATATTTAAAACTCTGTTGTACACTGGAAAATGCCACAGAATAACTTGTATAAATATGTGAAACTAATCATTCTTTTGACTGACAGTTATACTGTTTCACATAATTCACCTCTAGATCTGTCTTTTCAATTTTAGAGCACATCACGCACCTTGAGGTTTATATTGCCACACTGGAAAAGCTATCATCAAACTGCCGGGACAATGGAGAGGAAGCTCTGAGCAATGCTTTCAGTGCCTTTGCTGAGTTGTCCAAGGAATTGTTGACACCCATGAAGAACATGGTATGGTTTAAAGGAACAGTACAGTACATTTTCAGTGAGGTGATGATGTTGTTAATACTGCAGCAAATGTCTTAATCTGTAAATCTAGTCAAACTATAGACATTCATATTATTACATTTTCATATTGTGTAACAAGTAGTAATTGAGTTTACTTCACTGACCCCTGTAGCTGCAGGCACTTTGGAACAATTCATCTTCAAAGTTCAGACTTGGAAGTAATCCAGGTCTTTCTCTCAGCAGTTCATCTCATCCTACTCCCTCCTACTTAGCAGCTCAGCTCACCGTGCCCTCCTCCTAGCAGTGACTCAGTAGTTCAGCTCCCCCTTCCCTGCAGTGGTTCAGTAGCTCAGTCCCTGCTCTCACTGCCAGCAGTGACTCAGCAGCTCAGTTTATCCAGCTACCCCCTTCCAGCTGTTACTCAGCAGCAGCTGAGCTTACCCTCTAAGCCAGGGGTGTCAAACTGGTGGCCCTCCAGCTGTTGCAAAACTATAAGTCCCATCATGCCTCTACATGTGGGAGTCATGCTTGTAACTGTCAATCTTGCAATGCCTCATGGGGCTTGTAGTTTGGCAATAGCTGGAGGGCTGCCAGTTTGACACCCATGCTCTAAGCAGTTACCCTGCTTCTTTCTTACAGCAAAGGCTCAGAAGCTCAGCTCTCTTTGCTATCCCCTTCCAGCAGTGACCCAGCAGCTCAGCTGTCTTTGCTATCCCCTTCCAGCAGTGACCAAGCAGCTCAGCTCACCTTGCTTCCCCTCCCAGCAGTGACTTTGGAGATTACCCACTATAGGAAGCCCTTTGCCCTTTCTCATTTCACCAACACACTTTAACAACTGCTGAGATAAGCAGCCACACAAGGGGTGCATTGCTTTCAGTGAGTAGTGAGTAGGCCAGCCCATAGACTGCCATATTGAGGAAGAGTAGATAAAGCATATCTTACCCCCAAAACAAAATTGTAATATATTGCAGATTATTATTCATTAGTGGCTCTTTGATTTTTCTCTTTTAAGGCATTTTTTTTCTTTTTCCTTTATTTTCACATCACGTGTGTGTCCAGCAACACACTTCTTGTCTTAGGGTGTCTCCACTCTGAATGAAGAGGCAACGGAGACACCCTTGGACAGCAGCATTGTCTGGAGATGGTAGTGTCAGGTGAATTAGTAGATTTGGATGAGCTTTCATAAGTGAATAAAGAAATTTGGTTAAATGGGTCGGGTTCAGCTGGCAGCACTGCCCATTAAATGCGATTGGGGGGGAGATAGTTTTGCTGTCCTGTGATGCAACAACCTTATCAGCTGCCTTTGCAAATTAAAAGAGAGTGGTTGGGAATGGTAAAAGGCGGCTCATTCACATGTTTTTGCCACCCCTCAGGCGCATGGGCAAACAGGGCTTTACTGGCCAGTTGAATATTACGGATAAAAACAAAAAAACGTTTACCTTATAAACAGGTAGGAAATGTGAGCGCTCTAAAAAATGTTAAAAGCACAAAGGTAACCAAAATAAACCTTGATAAATACAATATAAAAGGAGGTGCAGCGCTAATTGTATAAAATCAACTAAAATATATATATATATTTAAAAGCGAAGTTCATTAGTAAAAACAGTTCTTTTTCTGGAAACCGGTGTCCGTGCAATAGTTGTGTAAGTAATGCGCACTCACCGGACGCGCGTATAAAATGCGCCTGTAAATATTACTCCAGAAGTCATCAAGGTAAGTCAGGAACTAAGATGTCTTCCCTCTAAAGCAGCGGTTTCTGGGGGTCGCGACCTGGGGGTCGAACGACCATTTCCCAGGGGTCGCCTAAGACCATCGGAAAACACATATTTCCGATGGTCTTAGGAACCGAGACACCGCTCCTCTGACTCAGTCGATGTGTGGGTGGGATGATACGCTGCCCTGTCACCTGGCCACACCTCCGGGATCCCTCAACAACTCCGCCTCCTCGCCGCTGATTGGCCACCGGAACTGTAGCTCAGGAGAGGCACACAGGCGGCCAATCACCAGCGAGGAGGTGTGGAGCTTGGAGAGGAGGAGCCGAGCTGCAGCGCGCGTAGATCTAAGAAGATCGAGGGAACTGCCGGAGTAAGTGAAGAGGAGAGCGGCCAGAGAAGGAAGACAGCTGACAGGTAAGTGAGAGAGCGAGCCCAGGCTGGAACAGTGGTCAGCAAGGTAAGTATCATTGGTGTCAGTGGGAGGAATAGTGCCCCATCATTTGTGTGACTAATACCAACAATGGGGCACTATTTTCTCCCCCCCCCGCACTGACACCAATGATGGGGCACTATTCCTCCCCCCACTGACACCAACGATGGGGCACTATTCCTCCCCCCACTGACACCAACGATGGGGCACTATTCCTCCCCCCACTGACACCAAGAATGGGGCACTATTCCTCCCCCCACCGACACCAACGATGGGGCACTATTCCCCCCCCCACTGACACCAATGATGGGGCACTATTTCCCCCCCCCTGACCCCAAAGATGGGGCACTATTCCCCCTCCACCAACGACTGACTGACACCAATGATGGGGCACTATTCCCCCCCCTCCCACTGACACCAATGATGGGGCACTATTCCCCCCACTGACACCAATGATGGGGCACTATTCCCCCCACTGACACCAATGATGGGGCACTATTCCCCCCACTGGCACCAATGATGGCGCACTATTCTCCCCCACTGACACCAATGATGGGGCACTATTCCCCCCACTGACACCAATGATGGGGCACTATTCCCCCCACTGACACCAATGATGGGGCACTATTCCCCCCACTGACACCAATGATGGGGCACTATTCCCCCCACTGACACCAATGATGGGGCTCTATTCCCCCCACTGACACCAATGATGGGGCACTATTCCCCCCACTGACACCAATGATGGGGCACTATTCCCCCCACTGACACCAATGATGGGGCACTATTCCTCCCACTGACACCAATGATGGGGCACTATTCCCCCACTGACACCAATGATGGGGCACTATTCCTCCCACTGACACCAATGATGGGGCACTATTCCTCCCACTGACACCAATGATGGGGCACTATTCCTGACCCACTGGGACTGACACCAATGATGGGGCACTATTCCCCCACTGACACCAATGATGGGGCACTATTCCCTCACTGACACCAATGATGGGGCACTATTCCCCCCACTGACACCAATGTTGGGGCACTATTCCCCCCACTGACACCAATGTTGGGGCTCTATTCCTCCCACTGACACCAATGATGGGGCACTATTCTCCCCACTGACACCAACGATGGGGCACTATTCCCCCACTGACACCAACGATGGGGCACTATTCCCCCCACTGACACCAACGATGGGGCACTATTCCCCCCACTGACACCAACGATGGGGCACTATTCCCCCCACTGACACCAACGATGGGGCACTATTCCCCCCACTGACACCAACGATGGGGCACTATTCCCCCCACTGACACCAACGATGGGGCACTATTCCCCCCACTGACACCAACGATGGGGCACTATTCCCCCCACTGACACCAACGATGGGGCACTATTCCCCCCACTGACACCAACGATGGGGCACTATTCCCCCCACTGACACCAACGATGGGGCACTATTCCCCCCACTGACACCAACGATGGGGCACTATTCCCCCCACTGACACCAACGATGGGGCACTATTCCCCCCACTGACACCAACGATGGGGCACTATTCCCCCCACTGACACCCAACGATGGGGCACTATTCCCCCCACTGACACCAACGATGGGGCACTATTCCCCCCACTGACACCAACGATGGGGCACTATTCCCCCCACTGACACCAACGATGGGGCACTATTCCCCCCACTGACACCAGCGATGGGGCACTATTCCCCCCCACTGACACCGGCGATGGGGCACTATTTCCCCCCCTTGACACCAACGATGGGGCACTATTCCTCCCACTGACACCAACGATGGGGCACTATTCCTCCCACTGACACCAACGATGGGGCACTATTCCTCCCACTGACACCAACGATGGGGCACTATTCCTCCCACTGACACCAACGATGGGGCACTATTCCTCCCACTGACACCAACGATGGGGCACTATTCCTCCCACTGACACCAACGATGGGGCACTATTCCTCCCACTGACACCAACGATGGGGCACTATTCCTCCCACTGACACCAACGATGTGGCACTAGTCCTCCCACTGCAAAATTACAGTTATGAAGTAGCAACGAAAATAATTTTATGGTTGGGGGTCACCACAACATGAGGAACTGTATTAAGGGGTCGCGGCATTAGAAAGGTTGAGAACCACTGCTCTAAGGGATGGATGGTCATCAAACAGGATCCTGGGGCTCCAATCATCCCAGATCAGGCACTTGTTCTGATCTCACTGGCTACCACTGGATCCAGGACAATCCCTCCAGAGAAGTATCTGTGTGTTGGGAGATGTTGATGAAGTTACAAAGTTAGGAGAGCTAGTGAAGAAAGTCCAGCATCCTCCGCCTGTCTGGAGCGGGTAGTGTCAGGTGAATTAGTAGATTTGGATGAGCTTTACATAAGTGACTAAAGAAATTTGGTTAAATGGGTCGGTTTCAGCTGGCAGCACTATCCATTAAATGCGATTGGGGGGGGGGGGGTAGTTGTGCTGTGATGCAACAACCTTATCAGCTGCCATTGCAACTTAACCACAAGCCTACAGGGCACCTATACCCCCTTCCTGCCCAGGCCAATTTCCAGCTTTCAGCGCTGTCACACTTTCAATGACAATTGCGCGGTCATGCAACACTGTACCCATATGACATTTTTATCATTTTTTTGTGACAGATAGAGCTTTATTTTGGTGATATTTAATCACTTCTGAGTTTTTTTGTTTTGTCTTAAACAAACCAAAAACCACTGAAAATTTTGAAAAAAAAAAACGTTTTTTTCTTGGGTTTTTGTTATAAAATTTTGTAAATAAGTGATTTTTCTCCTTCACTGATGTGCGCTAATGAGGGTGCAGTGATGGGCACTGATAGGCTGCACTGATGGACACTGGTAGGTGGCACTGATGTGCACTGATTAGGAGGCACTGGTAGGTGGCACTGATGGGCATTGACAGGCATCACTGATGGGCACTGAAAGGCAGTACTCATATATGGCACTGACTGGCACTGTTAGGCGACACTGACTGGCACTGTTAGGTGGCACTGACCGGCACTGTTAGGTGGCACTAATAGGCAGCACTGACGAGCACTGTTAGGAGGCACTGATGCACACTGATAGGTGACACTGACTGGCACTGATAGGTGGCACTGATTGGCTGCACTGATAGGTGGCACTGACTGGCATTGATAGGTGGCACTGACTGGCACTGATGGGTGACACTGAAAGGCAGCTCAGATGGGCACTGATATGTGACATTGATGTGCACTGGTAGGCACTGAAATGTGGCACTGATGAGGCACTAGCAGGTGGCATTGATGAGCACTGAGAGCTGGCACTGATGGACACTGACAGGTGGCACTGCTGGGGCTACACAGATCACCAGGGCACACTGATCATCAGTGCTCTGATGATCTGTGTACATGTCCCCTCCGAGGAATGCCGATTACCGGCTCTCCTCTCCTCACGAGCTGTCAGCATGACAGCTCGTGAGGAGAGAGATGCTGATAACCGGCTTTTCCCTGTTTACATGTGATCAGCTGTGATTGGACACAGCTGATCACATGACAGATCCGACTTCTTCGGCTCTTTCCGTTGAACTGTGATCCGCGGTGTCCAAGGGACACAGCGCACCACCGATCGCCGTGCTGCGTGCTCCTGGAGCAGCGCATGCGCAATTAGAATGGGAGGACGTCATATGACGTCCTCCCAGAACGAGGGAACCACCTTGCGCCCGCCATTGTACTATATGGCGGACGGGAAGTGGTTAAAAGAGAGTGGTTGGGAATGGTAAAAGGTGGCTCAATCGCATGTTTTTGCCACCCCTCAGGCACATGGGTAAACAGGGCTTTACTGGCCAGTTGAATATTAAGAATAAAAACAAAAAAAATAACTTTTACCTTATGCTCAAGTGTTATTTAAGGACAAAAAGAGAAATTCTATGAAATATCTGCAATGATGTTATGCTGACAAGAGTGTAAGACTATGTGTGAGAAATGATTTGAATAATTTGTGTAACCCTTGCTTATCTGCATATTTTGTCTTCATTTATCTTACACAGCTGCAGAGTTTTAATCACAATATTAATTACTTTCTGAACTCGCTGGTTAAAGGAGATCTGAAGGAAGTGAAAGGGGTGAGTTACAGAAAAGCAGCAATGCAGAAATCAGCAGTTTGGCTGTAAGCTCCTTAGGTGCAGAATCTCAGAATCCCTTTACTCTAAACTTGCACAGTGGCAGATTATAGTGAGATTAACATTCCACTGATCACTGCCTGAGCTGTCATAGGTGTTCCAGCTATTGGCTCTATGAGGGCGAGGATGGGGGGCACAGCTGCACCCTATTTCCACTACCATAAGGAACGGACATCCTCTTCAAATTATAATAGTACAATATCTCTCTGTGCTCAAGAATTCCCTGATAAAAGGTGAAGCTGTGGAGTACATGAGAGCATGATTATTCTGCACTTGTGATGAGTAGGAATGAGCGAGGAGGGATTCTGTTGAAATGACCAATTTTACCACCGATGACATTTCGTTGAACAGCTATGCTCATTTCGGTGAAAATTCCTTGAAACAAAATACCCCTTTTTAAATTTTATTTACGTTTTCTGGTGGGATTCTTCAGGGTAGTTTAGTTTATTTTATGTAATATTCTCTAGATTTGTTCTTCCTTTTTCGTTGTGTGGACTTGATTAATTGTGTACTGCTGGCCTAAATGTTTTATTTTACTTTTTTTATTACTATTTTTTTTTTTCTTTTTGTGAAAAAAAAAAAAGATTAACAAGGAGCTGTTTTGGCACAAAAACAGATCCCAGGTAGCTTAAACCTGAGGGTTTTGGAGGCTTCTTTCAAGCCCATTGCACCCTTAACCACTTCCCTCCCATAGGAGGCCACGTGACATCCTCGGGTATGATCCCATTATTCAAATTTTCAGAAACTGATTCTCTTTTTTGTAGAAGTGACTCAAGCCACTCGATCACGTCTACAAGCGGCAGACGGGGGTCTCCCCACCACCATCACTACCCTTCCAGGGCTCTCAGGGAGTCTGGGACCGATCTGAACGGTGGCATCTGGTGCAATGAACAGAAGGGAGAAACGGATGTTCTTCTCTGTGGGATCAGAAACTGGAAGCAACAAGAATATTTCTCACTTCCGGTTTTGGTTCAGTTTATTAACGGCTTGTACTGCATCAGATTAAACCGATCTCAGTTTGATCAGATGGTTTTGAGGTCAGAGGAGAGATATGGGGTCTAATAGTCCCCAGATATCTCCAAAAATAGGACCTATCACGACCCATGCTATTACAAGGGATGTTGTTCATTCCTTGTGAGTGATACCAATAAAACATAAATGTATAGTCTTAAAAAAAAAAGACATTTAAATAAAATAAATAATAAAGTATATTTTTAAAAATGTAGAGTGCCCCTGGTTCCCCCATGCTCATGTGCAAATTTTAACGCACACATACGTGTAGGTCCCACGCGTATGTAAACGGTGATCGCACCACACATGTAAAGTATCGCCACGAACGTCAGAGAGAGCAATAATTTTAACACCATAACTCCTTTGTAACTAAACTGGTAACCTGTGAAGGCTTTTGAAATGTCACCAATGGATAATTTATGGTACCATAGTTTGTCACCATTCTACAGGCGTGCGCATTTTTAAAACTTGACATTTTTGGCATCTATTTATCTACTCGATGTAACAACCTCTTTTATAATTTACCAAAAACTGGGTATTAAATTGTGTTTGTGTTCACTAAAATTCAATAAAGTGTACTTCTTGCCTTTGAAAAACTGCTGCACAAAATACCGTGTGATATAAAAAATTTCAACACCCACCATATGATGATCTAGGGCCTCTGCTTACAAAATATTTAATGTTTGGGGTTCAAAGTAATTTTCTAGCATGTATGAGAGAAATGTCAGAAATGGCTTGTAGGCAAGTGGTTAAAAACATTAATTTTGCCTTTCCCAGAGAGGCCAATGCATTTCACCAACATGGCAACATTTTGTCAGAACTTTTTTTTTTGTTGGTGAATTTTCAAACTGAAAACACTCAATTTCATTCATCCCTAGTGAAGGTGTAGAGCACTTTTACCCCACTTTTATCACATTATAGAGATCACATCTTACCCTACAGCACTGAGATACACCCAAATACATTGGGTTCAAGTTAAATAACCTTTTGGGGGGCAATTTCTAATCACAGCCCACCCTAAAAATATTTGTAGTTTCTCTGTAAAATTATCTTTTAACATTCTTTGAACTGATTGGCCATATCCAGGCCACAAAAACAAGAAATAGGCCGGGAACTTTTTTCTCCCTCATCCAGGTTGTGGAATCTTATCCATTAAAGGATTTTCCTGTTTTTATTCTACTGGCTCTATTTTGTTTTTGTATTACAGCAGGGCACTTTTCATCCAGCAACCATGTAAAGGTTATGTAAGCTCCTGTTCTTACTGCTGTACAATTGGCTGTTTTAGGCTTCCCGTCCACTGAAACAGGCAATCTCAATACTCAGCCTAGTAGCAGAAAAACCTCAAAGTCTTACTAAATGCCATAGTAATAGGCACAAACTAGTCAATTAAACATCAAACTAGCAAACGGTAGGCTTATTGTTTATATAATCTGGGATCTTTTTTTTTTCAGCCATATTATTGTATCTTTCAGATCTTTCAGCTCATCTGAAAATAACTGCCACTTTTTTAGCTTGTATTAGCTGTGTGAATTGAGCAGTAGTAGAACTGTACCAGTTTGGTAAATGTATTTTTATGTTGACTCTTTTGGGTGTTTTTGTTCTTTCTTATAGGATTTAAGAAAGCCTTTTGAAAAAGCTTGGAAAGATTATGAAAACAAGTTGTAAGTTGGAAGATATATCTGTATATGGTGATATCATGCAGTATCATGGTGGACTTCAAAGAAAACTATATGCTATATGATCAGAGACTACATTACATTATATTATTTAGAGACATCTATATTCACATCATATGAAGATTAGCCTATATGGTTTAGCACTTTTTGGTCCTGTCGTGGTGGCATTGTCATGGTGGCATTGTCATGGTGGACTTCAGCCTGCCAGATAAACACTGAGAAACGAGAACTTCAGAAAGCTTTATAGCTAATCTGTAGGCAAACATCAAATTAGTAAACTGTTTTTTTTATATATATATATATATATATATACATACACACAGTGGGGCAAAAAAAGTATTTAGTCAGCCACCAATTGTGCAAGTTCTCCCACTTAAAAAGATGAGAGAAGCCTGTAATTGGCATCATAGGTAGACCTCAACTATGAGAGACAAAATGAGAAAAAAAAAATCCAGACAATCACATTGGCTGATTTGGAAAGAATTTATTTACAAATTATGGTGGAAAATAAGTATTTGGTCACCTACAAACAAGCAAGATTTCTGGCTCTCACAGACCTGTACCTTCTTCTTTAAGAGGCTCCTCTGTCCTGCACTCATTACCTGTATCAATGGCACCTGTTTGAACTTGTTATCAGTATAAAAGACACCTGTCCACAACCTCCAACAGTCACACTCCAAACTCCACTAGGGTGAAGACCAAAGAGCTGTCGAAGGACACCAGAAACAAAATTGTAGACCTGCACCAGGCTGGGAAGACTGAATCTGCAATAGGCAAGCAGCTTGGTGTGAACAAATCAACTGTGGGAGCAATAATTAGAAAATGGAAGACATACAAGACCACTGATAATCTCCCTCGATCTGGGGCTCCACGCAAGAACTCACCCCTTGGGGTCAAAATGATCACAAGAACGGTGAGCAAAAATCCCAGGACCACACGGGAGGACCTAGTGAATGACCTGCAGAGAGCTGGGACCAACGTAACAAAGGCTACCATCAGTAACACACTACGCCGCCAGGGACTCAGATCCTGCAGTGCCAGACGTGTCCCCCTGCTTAAGCCAGTACATGTCCGGGCCCGTCTGAAGTTTACTAGAGAGCATTTGGATGATCCAGAAGAGGATTGGGAGAATGTCATATGGTCAGATGAAACCAAAATAGAACTGTTTGGTAGAAACACAACTCGTCGTGTTTGGAGGAGAGAGAATGCTGAGTTGCATCCAAAGAACACCATACCTACTGTGAAGCATGGGGGTGGCAACATCATGCTTTGGGGCTGTTTCTCTACAAAAGGACAAGGACAACTGATCCATGTACAGGACAGAATGAATGGGGCCATGTATCGTGAGATTTTGAGTGCAAACCTCCTTCCATCAGCAAGGGCATTGAAGATGAAATGTGGCTGGGTCTTCCAACATGACAATGACCCCAAACATACCGCCCGGGCAATGAAGGAGTGGCTTCGTAAGAAGCATTTCAAGGTCCTGGAGTGGCCTAGCCAGTCTCCAGATCTCAACCCCATAGAAAACCTTTGGAGGGAGTTGAAAGTCTGTGTTGCCCAGTGACAGCCCCAAAACATCACTGCTCTAGAGGAGATCTGCATGGAGGAATGGGCCAACATACCAGCAACAGTGTGTGCCAACCTTGTGAAGACTTACAGGAAACGTTTGACCTCTGTCATTGCCAACAAAGGATATACAGTATAACAAAGTATTGAGATGAACTTTTGATATTGACCAAATACTTATTTTCCACCATAATCTGCAAATAAATTCTTTCCAAATCAGCCAATGTGATTGTCTGGATTTGTTTTCTCATTTTGTCTCTCATAGTTGAGGTCTACCTATGATGCCAATTACAGGCTTCTCTCATCTTTGTAAGTGGGAGAACTTGCACAATTGGTGGCTGACTAAATACTTTTTTGCCCCACTGTATATATATATATATATAAAATGACAGCTGCTATATCTGGTAAGAATTTACTGTATATTGCTGGTATTTCTATAGCTCTGCCCCACAGCAAAATCAGCCTGGAGACTGAACTATTCTCTACTGCAGGTAAATAATGCAACCAGGTGATTGTCCTGCTTGCAGCCTGTGACTGAACAAGGAAGGAGAAGCATGAGATTCACAAACGAATATCTTTGTCAGTCTGCCCCCCTTTGACGTCATGTTGAGCACCGTAGCACAGCTGATTGGTTGTGTGCTGCTTCTCCCTGTGCCAGCTTGATCTCCACTGTGCAAGGTTTCTAAGCACTCGCTTCCCACCCTAGAGCCCTCCCCTCCCTATGACAGCGTACTGAGATTCCTCTGCCCCCAAGTCGCTGTCACATTTAAAATCGGTGCAGATGAGCAGGGCTCCACCTGCACAGCTGCTTCATTCATTCACAGAGATCTGTGAATAAACTACAAGTCCTGTCTGTCACCGTGGCAGCTAGATATGTAGTTATCAGTGACACTTCCTCCAGCTTTCCAACTGACAATCCTTAATTATGATTAAAGGATTATTCTCTATAGTGTGTACTTGTTTCAGTACAGAGCACTAAGTGTCATTTCTGTGTGCTGTCTCCTTCCTCTGCCATCAGCATTAGACTTCTGACACCAGGAGAAAAAAGGTGACAGGGAGGGAGCTCCAACACACAGTCTGTGATTGACAGCCTCAGCTCTGTGGCTTTGTGCTGTGCTTTGTGAAGGGGGGTGAGTCCCTTCACTCAAGGGCTCTAAGTAGTAGTTTGGTTGCAATAAATGTTCTACAAGGAACATTACAGCATTGATGTTATGAGTAGGTCATGTGGTTGATTTTTCTTATTTTAATCGGCGGGGAATTTACTCAACGGGGCTAGTATATTGATACTTTAGAGGGGCACCAGAAGTTGAGTATAAATTCCATTGAGTATTTGTGTTTCTGATAGATGTTGGTAAATTGTAGCTATCATTCTGCAGAGTTATCTAGTAAGTGTTGGTGAGCCAGATTTGCGTTGATTATTTTCAGAATGGTGTTTGTGTTTTACCAGCACTAAAATTGAGAAGGAGAAGAGGGAGCTAGCCAAGCAGTACGGAATGGTGCGAAATGAGGTGGCTGGAGGAGAAATCGCCGAAGAACTGGAGAAGGAACGAAGGATGTTTCAGCTGCAGATGTGTGAAGTAAGGAATTCTCTGCCCAATATGCATGACATGAACATTAGACTGTGTATAATGGCTGTTCCCTACAAGGGCTACCACCTTCTATTGTCTATGAGCTCATTATAAGATGACCTTGCTGGACTAATCTGAACAAAACTGAATTGTGTCTGGTGGATATTTATAAATTCAGCATTTTGCTCTATTGTAATTGAAAGATAAGCTGGAGTGCTGCGTAACTGACATACACTTTCGTAGGATAGGAGCATGTTCATGTATGGGAGTATCAGGTGAATGAAAAGATGAATGCTTGTTGGCTTACATCTAAAATAGATTTAATGTGTATGAGCAGCTTTTCCCATGAGTTGAGTTGACCCATCAAATTCAGTCCTAGTGCGATGGTGTTTATCAGACTGTATATACATCCTCATGAAACTATTGCTATTTTTGGAGACCATGTATTTCAGCATTTAGCTCCCTCTGTGGTGCTTCTTTCATATGATGTTTAGAGTCTTTTAAGTGCAACCGACTGGATTCTCCCTAGACTCCGAATCCGTGTAAAAGTCCCAATTGATGTTTTTGATCAGGGTGTGGAAGCAAAAACTGGAGCTGTTATTTAAAGCATATCTGAGTTTAATGGTAGCTAAACAATGGATTGCTGTTTTTTTCTTTTCTTTATCCTGTTTTTCCTTTGGATTCACTATTAAGCGTAACCACTTTAAAAATATGAGGCATGAAAGTTAAAGAGGAACTGAATTCTGGAAGCTGTGCCCAAAATAGGCAGGCAGAGGGCAAGGAACTAGTCAACAGTTTTGCCTGTGGTCCTCATTTTCTTTACTGTATCTCTGTGTGGAGGCAGCCATCTTCGTTTAGGGGGTGGGCTTTGCTTCCTCATGTCACAGCTTCCAGCAAGAACAGTGGGCAGCACAGCAGAGGTCTCAATAAATCTCCCTCCAGATCTCCCAAGACTATCAGTCAGAGGCAGAAGAGATCTCATACTGCAGATATACAGCTATGAGGCTGTAGGACCTGGAGTGCCTAGGAACGCTCACAGGAAGCGCACTGCTATTTTTCAGGAGGAAACACAGAATAAAAATTTAGATTTTTTTTTTTTTTTTAGGGTACTGCTTCAGCTCAATTGACATTTCCAAATACTCCTTACATTGTAGCAAATCTTCTTTTTGGTTCACTTTCCACTTAACATCTTTGGCAGTTAAATAGTACGTTATATTATACTCTACACCAGAGCTAAAAGAGGGAATGGAAGATAGAGGGATTAGTTTCCAAAAGAGGGACAGTCCCTCTAAACGATAGACAATTGAGAACTATGGCTGATTATGAATTATTACCTTTGCCCTGGTCTTCCCTCAGTCCACCTAGAACTAAAATTTCAATTATGGATTGATGCTGCCAGACTAAATCACCCATTGGCTTCCAGAAATGAGGACTAAGGTGGTACAATCTCTGTGCTTGATCTCCTAGGAACAGGGGCGGACTGACCATTTGGAAACTCGGGCACTGCCCGAGGGCCCGGGGTCAGTAGGGGGCCCCATGAGATGCCCCTGGTACCTTTTTCATAGGCTTTTTTGAGTTTGAGCAAGGACACAGGGGCCCCATGATCCCCTATTGCCCGGGGGCCCCATGAGTTGTCAGTCCGCCCCTGCCTAGGAATGACCTGTGTCAGCCAATACAAAGGGGTTCTGATAACCTTTCTGTAGTGGGAGGGGCTGGAGCCAAGTACTACTACTAGGGATCCTTTTGTTGAGGACCACAACAGAAATCCAGTTGGTATTGTTACAAATCAGCATCCATCAGATAAACGGTCTTGGCTAAACCATCTCCTAAATATGTTTTCTTTTTTAACTTGCTGTTAAATTTACATATGTAATGTGCTATGTGTGGAAATAGAAGATAAGATTGTGCTTACTAATATATTAAATTGTTGTTTTTTTTTTTTTTTGTTTTTGTAGTATTTGATCAAAGTCAATGAAATAAAAAGCAAGAAAGGTGCAGACCTTTTGCAGAATCTCATCAAGCATTACACCTCCCAGTGCAAGTAAGAGTCCAGTATACTTATATTATAAACATCCTAATTTCTTTCTAATTCTGAGTCAGTCATTTTATATTCGGTAGTGTTTCCTACATTCCTGCCAGTATTTTATTTTGGCTATCCTCACTGGGAACTTTAAATGTACATAGGCCATGAAACGTTGAAGCTTCCAGTGATGTCTCTCCTGGCAATTCCAGTTGCCCAGCTGTGTCAGGCTTCAACTCTTTTTCAGTCTTACACCAAAAACAAAGCAAAATGGTAGCTTCTCAGATCAGATTTGGAAGGGAAATCCACAACCATACTTAAATTCACAGTCTCCTGATAGTCGGCACAGAATCTTGTTAAACCGATTCAATATCGTAGGTTAACCTCCTTGGCGGTATTCCCGAGTGTAGCTCGGGGTAAAATTTCAGTACCACAAGCGGTAACCCCGAGCTACACTCGGGCTTACCAGTCGGCGTTGCTCAGGGGGTCTCTGCAGCGCTTACCTTGTCCTTCGCTCCCGCAATGTGTCCCCTGCAGCATCCCCAGCCATCTCCTCCGGCCGATGCCGGCATCCGGCTTCTGTGTTCCGGTCCCTGTGACGTCGGGACGTATGGGCGCCGGAACCGGCGGCAAATTTAAAATTTTTAAAGTCATTTTTTTAAAAATTATTATTATATAGTAAAACATTGCTGTTTCAATGCATTTCACATATATTTTGTCCCTACTGCTTTGTCCTGTGCCCTGCCTACGTTTTGACTGTTCTTTCTGCCTGGAAACTCAGAAAAGTCCATGGCATCCAAAAAGCGTCCCTTTAGGTCAAAATCGGTTTAGACCGGCTAGAGAACAGCAATAGTAAATCAGAACCACTTGCAGAATTGAGTGATAATGATTCATGGGGGAAATTTGTCATCAGACACTGAAAACGATTTTGCAACTTTGCTCAGTGATGTGCGAACTTGGCGCTATATTTCAAATTTCAGTGTTTTTGGTTTGATTATATTATTGAATTAAATGTATTATTATATTATTATTTTTTATGAGTATTTATTAAGTAAGTAATTACTAAGAATTGCAGGCCTATAATACATACCGTATTTGCCGGCGTATAAGACGACTTTTTGACCCTTGAAAATCTTCTCAAAAGTCGGGGGTTGTCTTATACGCCGGTACACATGTTAGGGGGGCTGCGGCATTAAGTACAGGGGTTTGCAGGGGCTGATGTCTCTTACCTGGATCCAGTCCCACGACGATCCGGTCCAGGAAGCGCGGCGTCTCCTTCAGTTCGGCCACTGGATGTTCGTGCGGCTGCTCGGCTCCGCCTCCTCACCGGTGATTAGCCGCCAGAACTGTAGCTCAGGAAAGGCACACAGGCGGCCAATCACCGGCGAGGGGGCGGAGCCGAGCGGCCCCCCGAAAATTGAGTGCCGGAGCAGCAGGTAAGTGTTCTGTGTAGAGGTGCTGCTGCAACCACATATGCTGGCTGCAGCAGCACCATACGAGAACAGGGTCAGCAAGTCTCAGTGGGAGGAATAGTGCCCCATCATTGGTGTCACTGATACCAATGATGGGGCACTATTCCTCCCACTGATACCAACGATGGGGCACTATTCCTCCCACTGACACCAACGATGGGGCACTATTCCTCCCCCCCACTGACACCAACGATGGGGCACTATTCCCCCCCCCCCACTGACACCAACGATGGGGCACTATTCCACCCCCCACTGACACCAATGATGGGGCACTATTCCACCCCTCACTGACACCAATGATGGGGCACCATTCCTCCCACTGACACCAATGATGGGGCACTATTCCTCCCACTGACACCAATGATGGGGCACTATTCCTGCCACTAATACCAATGATGGGGCACTATTCCTGCCACTGATACCAATGATGGGGCACCATTCCTGCCACTGATACCAATGATGGGGCACCTATTCCCCCCACTGATACCAATGATGGGGCACTATTCCTGCCACTGATACCAATGATGGGGCACTATTCCTGCCACTGATACCAATGATGGGGCACTATTCCTCCCACTGATACCAATGATGGTGCACTATTCCTCCCACTGACACCAATGATGGGGCACTATTCCTCCCACTGACACCAATGATGGAGCACTATTCCTCCACTGATACTAATGATGGGGCACTATTCCTGCCACTAATACCAATGATGGGGCACTATTCCTCCCACTGACATCAATGATGGGGCACTATTCCTCCCACTGACACCAATGATGGGACACTATTCCTCCCACTGATACCAATGATGGGGCACTATTCCTCCCACTGATACCAATGATGGGGCACTATTCCTCCCACTGATACCAATGATGGGGCACTATTCCTCCCACTGATACCAATGATGGGGCACTATTCCTCCCACTGACATCAATGATGGGGCACTATTCCTCCCACTGGTGTGCATTGGAAGAGGGGTAGTCTTATACGGCGAGTATAGCCCAAACACTACATTTTAGCAGGAAAAGTAGGGGAGTCGTCTTATACGCCGGCAAATACGGTAACAACAAATTTCCATGCAAAAAAATGGTACCGCTTTTGGTACAAAATTCCTGACACAATCATACCGCCAGGGAGGTTAAAAAACGTGGTTGTTGCAAATACATGTGAATCTACACTACCACATCAAGGCACCTCTGCACGGCGTTTTCCATGGCAGTAAACCATCCAAATCTTCAGACTTCCATAGCAATGAGCAAATTGAGAACAGATGCCCAGACTTGCTGAATGGTAGCTAGATGGACCTCGGCCCCAAATCCAACATAGCCTAAATGGCACGTGCTCAGATCAATTGATAACTAGCAACAGAAATAGACCAGCAATGGGAATACAGCAAGATGGAAGTCTTATTTCTTATCTTTGTACTTTCATGGCTAGCAACTCAGAAATTTGTTGCATCAGCATGACAGTTGGGCAGTAATTAAAAAAAGGAAAGGTCAGCAATGAAAGCCTACATTCTTTTCTTATAACATGTTTCTTTGTGGGCAGGAGCTGTGATTGGGTATATAACAGCACTCATTAATGAGCTTAATTAACTGATGGCATGTGTAACAAAAGGACCTGTTTTTTAAGGCTTTATACACATAGTATAGTGAGTACAGCAAGCTTTTACAATGTATCTTCAAAGCTTTTAGTACACATCAAGCGGACATCAAGTTTTTAAAGCTGAACTCAGGAAAAAACAAAAAAATACCCTTGCAGTGGGCTTCGCAAGGGCTCATCAGGCCTAGGGATAACTGAAAAGGATGTATTACTTAACCTCACACCCCGGAAGGCTTTAGTGCTCGCCTTTTCTTTCCTCTGCTCCGGGCGGCCCCTTGGCGTCATCATGTACTAACTCTGCATTGTATGTGGTGGAGGCAGGCGTGTGACAGGCATGGAGGGCCCCACGGCAAGGGTATTTTTTTTGTTGTGCGAAAGTTGTTATTTAAGCAATCATCAGATTTTATGGGGATGTTAAACACTGATCTTATCTGCAAGATAAGCTCCAGCACTACTTGTTGAAACCCTACTGAAGCCTGCCAGCTTGTTTATGGCAGTTATCACTTTAATTAAGATCTGTTTGTAGTCTTCCAAGCTATAGCTGGAGGATACTTTAAAAGCTTTAAGAAAGTTGCCTGGCTGTGAAGTGTGGAAATTACTTTGTGTATTCAATAAGCTTGGCTGCACAGAAAAAGGGTGAACTCAAGGCAGAAATAACGAAAAAAAAAAAAACCCAACATACATAAATAAATGCAGTTAAGTGTTTCTTGATAAAAAAAAATCACTCAATGTATTTTTAAATAAAGCAAGCCATAGATTATACAAGTTTCTTTTCTTCCACCATGGGTAGAAGAAAAGAAAATTGCTCAATTTCCCCATCAACTTAGTCAGTGTTGATGGAGAATCAATCCCACAGCGCTATTGTGTTCTGCCAGCAGGATGTCTTCCCTGCCAGCAAAACACAATGATTGCTTCTAACGGCTATAGACACCAGCAGTGATTTGTGTGCAAGAAAATCTGACAGGCTTGTTGTACTGAAGTCAATCAATGGATCGACTGCAGTTAAACCAGCCTGCCTATAGATGGATCTAATCTTGGCCGGTCCCTGTTGAACCGGCTGAGATTCGATCCATCTAAGGCCAGCCTAATGTGTCTGTGCACATGTGCCAATAGTAGACGTGTTGACAGAAGTCGAGAGCAGAATGAGCAGAGTGTTCTGCTGCTCTTTAACTGCCTATTCAGTAGGCTGGGGGCTGTGTTCTGCTGCAATGGAGGTGGTGGACCTGGCTATGCTATATGTTGTGTGGTCCACAAGATTGGTTGAGGAGTATTGCACATTTTTGGAAGGTAAAACTGTTCTCATATACATAGTCTGTATTTAGCTGCTAAGCTGGATTTTTGCTTAATGTCCATATGGGCAGCAGAATGGCTAAATGGTTAGCACTTCCACCTGGCAGTACTAGGGTAATTGGTTCGAGTCCCAACCACGGCACCTCCTGCCTGGAGTTTGCATGTTCTCCCTGTGCCTGCATGGGTTTCCTCCGGAAACTCTGGTTTCCTCCCACACTCCAAAGACATGCTGGTAGATTAATTGGATCCTGTCTAAATTGGCCCTTGTATATGAATGTGAGTTAGGGATCTTAGATTGTACGCCCTTTGAGGGTTAGGGACTGATGTGAATGTACAATATATATGTAAAGCGCTGTGTAAATTGAGGCTGCATGCATTAGTCTTACAACTAGGATGGACCTTGCAGGAGCAGGTAAGAAAAGGTGCTTTTTTTTCAGTACTCTAGACATAAAAAAGCGTTTATTATTATTATTATTATTATAATAAAGGATTTATATAGCACCAACAGTTTGTTTAGCACTTTACAATATAACGGGAGACAATACAGCAACAATACAGTTCAATACAAGAGGGTTAGGAGGGCCCTGATCCTTGGAGCTTACAATCCATTGCTGTTCAGATGCAGCCCTACTGAAAGGGCAGATTTTTTTGTTTTCCCCAGAGTTCAGCTTTAAATAGAAGAATCTGTTGCTTTGGCAGCACAAACCACTTCATATGGGCCCTTGTATAAACAAGTCTCAAAGATTTCTCAATAAGTTGCCCATTTTGACCAACAAGACCTATCACAACCTCTCCTTGTGAACTGCAGTATTTTATATTTTCGTAATTGTATGCCTTCTGTACAGCCCCGCTCATGTGTATGCCCATGGTGGCGATTTGATCCCAGAATAATGACTTATTTGTAGCTTTCTGCAGGAATGTTTACAAGCCACTGAAAAACTGAAATCGTACATTGAAAGCCTGACTACAGAGCTGCAAATTGTGAGTACCTGTCCTGAAGCTGTTCACCTACTTTTTTTTTTTTTTTTTACCAGTAATAGTATTTATTAAGCTATACAAAATGTACAAAAATACAATAAAGAATAATGGAAAATGCAAACATTGACAACAGTCGGTATCTGAGCATTACAAAGAGGCAGTAGTATAAGGCACACAGCAATACAGCGACATGTTACACATATGGCACCGTATCAAGCACCAGGTTTGATGGGAAGTACTATGTAAAGAATAGGGAAAAGGTGAGGGTAAGGGAAAAAAAAAGGGGGAGGTCAGAGAAGAGGCAACAATAATGTAAAATAAAACCAAGAAAACCTACAA